CCGAGATTTACCACCTTGCCGCTGCTTTGCAAATCTTAGCAGAACCTGTCATGCAGACGGACGCCTGAATATAACAAGAATCCTCTCTATTTCAAAGTTGTCGATTTATTATCATTCTCTCTTAAGAATAGTTTTAGCGAATAAAGAGGGCAAGGCAATACAAAAAACTCATGGCAGTTGACGTTTTAAAATCGGTTGTTGGGTGTTTAAAAAAACTACCTTTATTAACAGCCTAGAGTTGAATTTCTTCAGACTACAGTCAGTCTCATTAATTGAGGGATGATTTCTGTTGAAGAATCGTCACAGTCGAGCTCCAATTAATAGACCTAAAAACAAAGTACGCAACTGACCTAATCAGAGCTTCATCTGCCGGCTCATGATAGAAAAGTGATCTATTGGATATTTTTTTTCAGGTAATGTTTGTTTTTAAGGCAAAGGTTTTAACAGAGTAAGTATTGGAATATCTTTTTTCGGATTTTTTAGATTGATTCGAAGGCTGGAAAATAAGCGGCATGTGTCGTTGGCTGATGCTCTCGGTGTTAACAGCAGGGTTTCTTGGCTTACAAATGCTGGCTATCCGCGATATTGTTTTTTTCCAAGTTCAAGACTGTGTGTCTGGTGATATGCGGTTTGAGGAACGCACAAAGGGCAACGTTCGTGTCTCCGAGCTCTCCAATGATGACATCATTCGGGGTATCAGAGGAGCTGACCGCGTTTGGCTGGTGCAGGGTGGAAGCCGTCTACCCCAGAAAAGGCAACAAAAACTTCACTACTTATGACGGTTTTACACCAAATCACATGGTTATCGATGCTGGCACTGTTCGTCCGTACGGGAAAAGGGGTAACGCCACGAAAAGTCGACTCTACATGCTTGCTACTGAATGCGACGCCGCGGTGAATGCAGCTGGCCAGGCTTTTAGCCCAATCAGCACTGCATTCTGTCCATATGAGCTGAGCTGGAGCGAGTATCTTCCACTGATAGCAGCCATTTGTCGGGTTACCACTAGTACAGGATACTTCTGGTATTACAGCGACGCCTTCTACGACAACGAGACTGCTAGAGTTCCGCAGTGGAAAGGCATGCTGCACGATATGTGCACAGAGCTTCTGCTGTGTGCTCGTGAGGGACAATGCCAGAAGTTCGAGAAAGTGATGGAAGAGTTTGTACATGAGCACATGAACACCAAGTACAGGGTGATTGTAGAGAGCATCTTCCCCAACATCGGCGGTGACGTGGAAAAATCAGAATCTGGTTCCATCAGCGAGATGGTTCGTCCGCAAAAGAAAACTCATACTTTGTTGTTCCTTGCTGTGGGTAGCGCCATTGCTATTGTCCTGATCATAATGGCAGCAGCCTTCCTTGTGCACCGCGCCAGAGTGACTGGAAAGGGAAAAATAGTGAAGGCTTCTCACTCAAGTGACCATCCTCAAGCTAAAGCTCAAGATGTGGATGCCTGAACTGTTGTAAGCACAGTTGGTTTGTACCACTGAGACTCTCAGTATACCTAGGAAAATGTTTACTGAGTCTATAGTTTGAAATCAGGTGAAGCTTAGCTTTAGATTTTGTCCCAAGTTCTGTATTCGTGTGCATATCCAGTTTATAGGCATAACTGAATTACTCGTTTTAAGGATTTTTACAAGCTGGGAGACGTACAAAATGAAGCTTTTTCATTTTTCATATGCTATTTTTGTTTTCAACCAGAAGCGAATCAGGTCAACATTTGAAAAATAACGACCTGAAAGTGTGGGGTTGAGTTAGAGTTTAAATTGAAGTAACAGCTGTGTGATTGCCTGGGAAAACTCGCGCCACTTTTTCAACAAACTTCCAAAACCAATCTCGAATTGTGCATGCTCACGCGCACCTTCCCTGACGTACGATCAAGGCTAATTTACCATTTTGCTAGCTAAAAAAGAACGTTTGATCACAGGTTACATTTTCACGCGCTTGGCGCGAGCCACATGTAGTTTTTTGCCGAATTATGTTTGGTTCATTGAACAGTTTTCGTCGACTGTGCATGGTCAAACTAATCACTTTGGTTTTAGTTGTACGAAACTCAATAGATATTCGCTGTATTAGTGATCGCTGTGCATCGTTTTAGATCATAATTTCCTGG